TAAGATAATCTTTAGATACACAGTTAAACCAGTAAAATAATCTTTAGATACACAGTTAAACCAGTAAGATAATTTTTAGATACACAGTTAAACCAGTAAAATAATCTCAAGTCTTCAATACTTGGAATTTATATTGTCTTGTGTCTGTTTGTAACAAAACTTTTCCAACTTCCCAATGCCTGATTACTATGAAATTTTTAGGGGTTCTTGGGTATGCCACAAAGGAATACTAAAATCTCTTGCTTTACGATTTTCTCATTTTTAAAAGTTTCACAGTCATTTCAGTTTTCCCCTTTGCTACTACTGCTGAAGAATAACATGTGCACACAGTCCCTGTAAAGCAAATGAAATAAATGCTGTGCCTGATGTGGGTACCTTTGTTAATCTACCTAACCCGTGTTAAACTTAAACATTAAAATGGAAGCATTAATTTTTAGATATAATAGTTATTTTTTTCTTTATTAGGTCCGAAAAATTGTTGAAGAAACAATGAAAAACATTCACCCAATCTACAACATTAAGGTATTGTATGTGTGCATGTTATTTACAGTTTTAAAAGTTGTCTTTTGTTTTATCTCTGTTTGTCCGTGTTTTTTGACAGAAAATCTTCAGCTTAGCACATTTCGTGAAGTTTGTAAATTGGAAGGAACCAATATTTTACCCCATTGTCTTTTGTAAACAAGATTCATATTTCATGTACTGTTTTTGTTACTTTTTAAAGTTTCAATGTAGCTGTTTTTTTTAGAGCAGTATAATTTTAGTTTAAAATATTGTGTTACAGTTGAGCTAGAGTCATGAAGATTAGGTATGAACAGTTTTAATGTAATACATCCAGATACAGAACTGGTAAAATAATCTTTAGATGCAGTTAAACTGGTAAGATGAGTTGGTTGTGAACAAAAGTGCTAGTAACCTGTAATAAGTAATTAGTTATAGATTGAAATGCTACTTTCCTTAACATCACACAGTATGATGATTATTGAATTCCATGAATCTTTAGTTAGTTTAATGTCAAAATTGTTGTTTAAGTATAGAATATAACACCTGTCATAGTGCTTGTTTTGTTTTTTAGGCCCTAATGATTAAGCGAGAATTGGCGAAAGACCCAAAGTTAAAAAATGAAAATTGGGAACGATTTCTTCCCAAATTCAAAAGTAAAAATATCAGCAAAAGGAAACAACCAAAGAAAAGGAGAAACAAGGGTGAATATACTCCTTTCCCTCCTCCTCAGCCAGAAAGCAAGGTAAAAAGTAACTTTTTAGGTCATAATTTCATTCTTCACCTTCTTTTGATGTTTCTTAAAATTCAAGTTTAAAATCCTTTAGGAATATTGAAACCAGTTGTGCCAAGTATATCTATATATATGAATACCCAGGCAAATAGCTGTAAGAATCTGTTTTCAAAAATGATTTGTGTTCTTATTTTAATGTCATTTAAACTTGGGTGTATTAACGTAAAAATAAGCTTGCAGTAAGAAGTACTACATCAAATTTGTGTGTTAATTAAATCTTATATTTTAATGTGATACCTCAGTCTTTAAGTTTCTTTTTTCTTTATGGTCATATTGTATCAGAGTAAACCAAAACTACTCTAGGTTAATGTATACTATGAGTTAAACATTGTATGATAAATTCATTTGTATTTTATAAATCTGATGGGCATGATCTAGTGTTTACAAAAATACACTCTGTCTTCGGGGATTATAGACATGCTATATTATAAGATTGTCAGTAAATTCTCACTATTGATTTAGGCAAGAGTAGCTCAAAAGTTGACGATGGATTCTGTTGACTGGCTGTATTCCCTGTAATCTGTCAATTCAAAATTATGGATGGCTTTGTGCAGATTGTCTTGATTGAGTTTTACATGAAAATTCTAAAACAAACAAAGATATTTATGTGTATTTTTTATCTGTTGAGAAGTAACTTAGCTACATTATTGATTTATTTTTAGTTTTACTGACAAGTGTTAACTATAATACTATATACAAAATTTTCAGGTTGATAAGGAACTGGCTACTGGTGAATATTTTCTGAAAGAAACAGAAAGAAAAGCTAAAAAACTTAAAGAAAAACAAGTAAGTAATTTAACTTTCAACGTTACCAATTATTTTTTTTCCTTTTTGTCTGTAATCTTTAAAGGCATGTATTTCTTCTTCATTTTGTTGAAATGTAAATATTTTTTTATCAAGTTAAATTGTAAGATTTGTATTCAAAATTAACTTTTTTCATTGTAATACCTTTCACTGGAAACTTAAATGATAATAAATCCTTGTACTTGGAACATGTATCTTGTTGTAGGAGCAAAAAGCTAATGCTGAGATAAAGAGACAAGAAAAAAGAAGTCAGTCATTCATTGCTCCAGATGAACCTGTCCACAAGAAGAAACAACATCAGAATGGTACGTAAATTTCAAGCTTAAAGGAACAATTTTTAAATCTTTTAAAACATGACTTGCAAAATTTTTCATTTAAACTTACTTTAATGCTAGATTTTTTTAAGAGATGTGACTGTTATCATTTTTTATTTACTATATTATTTTTTACAATCTAACATTTTTTGCTGAACTGAAGGATAAGCTAATAAACTGCTTTTCAAACTAAAATAAGCATGAAATATTTTTTTAAATATTGATTGTTGTTTTTTCTTATAGAATCAGATGTAGATATCAATAGACTGAAAAAGAAATTGAAGTACTCTCAGGTAAATAAACGTCTATTATGCAGCATAGCAACAAAACGCTAAAGAAAAACTATCCAGAGAATTTTATTTGTCTCATTTCTTTTAGTCCTTATAAATCTATTACATTTCATAAACTAACAAGAATATAAATTATGATTGTTAGTGTTAATGTGCTGTTCTTCTTTTTGAGCAATACAAACTTTGATGAGTTGAAAATTTACTACCAGACAAAATTTATTCACCAAGATGTCATTTAATTTTTAATCGGAACCTGATATAAAGTATATAAAATACAAGAGGTAATCTACTATAGCCCATGTAACAATATTTAAAGTTAGTCCTAGCAGTTCTAAGGAAAAATGTAGAGCAAATTAAATAATTATGTACAGTTGTTTCAAACATCATCTAGGGCAGCATTTCCCAAACTTTTGTCATCCATAACCCCCTTTATTTAATAAATATGGTTTCTTGCATGCTCCTTTTTTTGTTTAATGAGAGACAGAGTGAGTAAGTGATGAAATATAATACAAGGTTGTACATTAAAATGTTATATGTGTTGTAGTAATTACTTCTTATTTTCGTTAATAAAGAATATATTAAAATGCTTAATTTTGCATTGTTGACTCTACCCTAATTGCTCGTGTTCCCCCAAGAGATCATTTCTGGGGGTGTACACTTTGGGAAACACTGATCTAGGGTAGTAAAGTGTCTTTATATCATTTTCATTAATCCTGTATTTTTTGTAACTGTACAGTTTCTTTTATATCTAGATACAAGAAACTACCTCCTATTTTCATGCAAATCAGGTTTTTTTGTTTGTTTTTGATGTAATTAAAGGAATTTAAACTATTTGAAAAAGCAACTGGAAAGTTAGAATCACGTAATATTCATTATAGTTTTTAGTTGTCTATTATTAAAATAAAGTATTTAATGATCAAAAAAATTAAAACAAATTCAGGAAATATTATAAATGTGTTAGATAATTTATTTATATAAATATTCAGCTTTATTTTTTAAGTTAAAATTTTTTTCTTGAGAGAAACAACTCACAGCTATCTTATATTTTGAGATGATGGGTTCTGATCTTTGTTTCTAAAGAGTAAGACATGTTTTAAAGTCATCAGGCAACTTGAATCTTTGTTTACAAACAGTAAGACATGTTCTAAAGTCATTGGGTAACTTGAAGCTTTATTTCCAAGCAATAAAACATGTTTTAAAGTCATTGGGTAAATAGATTATTGCAATCAAAATTTTTCATAATTTTTTAGCAGAATGTATTATTTACCATTTTTTTCACATCATTAAATCCAGATTTTTTTGTCATATTGTATAGAAACAAGGCTTTAGACAAACAGTGAAGCCCTCTACTCCTGGTACTAAGGAAGCTAAAAAGGACAAGAAAAAGAAAAAAGAGAAATAATGCCAATTGGATTGTGCAAGTTTTACAGTTTATAGTATTTCAGAAGACTGGCTTGTAAATAAATTTTTATTAACATGATTATATTTGTGGTTGTATTTATCTTCTAAAAATATCACTTCTAAAATAATCTTTTGAATTATTTAAAAACTGTAAACTATAATAAAATCTTTTCCAGCTGTATTAATAGATTATAGTTGGTTAGATACAAAGAAGAGAGTTATTTATTATTTAGGTTTGTAATTTTAATAATATTTGGTACTGTGTTCTCAATAATAGTGTCTAGAAAAGAATATAGTATCAGACAGTGATAATGTTGTACAATGAGTATCAACATTCTTCAGTTGGTAAGCTAACTTCCTGAGTTTAACCATTTACACATTAGGCTTTGAAGTTTGGAACATCCTTTGTTATTTTTTTGGTTGGTAAGCTCGAAGCTACACGATGGGCTGACTGTGCTGTGTCCAACCATGGTTTTTAGCAGTGTGAGGCCACTGACTTACTGCTGAGCCACTGAGGGGGCAAGAAAAATATTAGAGATGCATTAATTTCATTACGGTGTAGATGTGAAGCCAGAGCTGTAACAGGGTGGCAAAATGGCTTGCCATGGCACTCACAAGGGGACAGAATTGGGAGCTAAATTGCCTGGTTACGGGTTGTGTGAGGACTTACTTGCCTGTTATTCATGATATGATTAAGTACGTAATTTTTGGAGTTTTTATTAAAATGGCATCTTTAGTGCAAGTGAGCTGTAATCACTTGATTATTTCAGATATTTATATCATAGTTTGATATGAAGAATTAGTAGGAAATGATGATAAAGTCTCTTAGTTATGATAATCTTGTATCTCATAAAGTTTGAAAAGGAAATGGATTTTCAAGCAACTTATAAAATGCCACTAATTTCAGTAGTACTCTATAAGGGGATACTGTAAAAATGACCCTCTAACAGTGAAGATTCAAATAAACAAATGCAAGAGTACACATTCATAATGATAAGTAAAAACTAAAGAAAAGTAAAGAGAGAAAACATGTGAAGATATGCTTTTTACTTTAAGAATGGACAGACTAATGAAAAGAAAATTAATCATTAAAATACAGGAAAGGAAAAGAAAAAACACAAATAAAATGCTTTGACATTGATATACATATTAAATATCTACAACAATAATTTAGAGTTGCCAACTCTCTAGATAGAGGCAGTCTAATAATAAATACACTGAATATATATATATAATGGAACAGAGGAAATTCCACAAAAAACCTTAAAATCAAATCCATCTTTAAAAAAAAGACAAATATTATCCAAACACAAGTCCTTAACTTTAAAGAAAATCCTTCAAGCAAAACAAAGATACAAAATAAACAAATCAAACCAGAGTTTGGCTATCTCTTGCTAGAGACATACATATTAGTCAGTGAAGAGATGGCATGTAAGATCTACAACGTATATATAAAAATAATAGATGTTAAGTCTTTGCTCTTATATATCTATATACAGTAGAAAAGGAAATACATACATACATACACCATACCAAATTCTCCTACTGTTTACACAACATATATATATGATTTAACATTCAGTTGATACAGTATGTACACTCACCTCAAAGGGTGGTCAAGACTTTGCTCCACCATATCCATGGCAATGGAGTTTGCAATATCACCTTCCATTTAGCCACCATGAATGTTATGGAGTTAGCACGGCACCTCTTCAGGTCTCGTTCAGAATTGGCAAGTTTGTCCCGCATCTCCAGACCTCCCTCTTGTATATCAATGGAGTGGTGGCCCTTCACCACAGCTGATTTTCTCAGTTGTAGTGGGCCTAGGCTTCTGTCCATTCACTAGCTATCTTTTCACGATGGAACTTCAATACTAGGATCTGGTCTTGTAGGAAGGTCCACTCTTGGCCACTTCAGGGGTGTCTCCTGTAGCTCCTTTGCCAGTGGAACCTCAGCAATAACAGTATTATAAGTCATGCAGTTTCACTCACTGATTTCAGTCCTGGAAGTAGAGACTCCTTCAGGGACTGGTGGACAAGCTGTCTGGCTTGCTGGTGCTGCTGTTGGTCTAGACACCATGGTCTTTCCCTGCTTGGCTGTCTTACTGTGGCCTACCTTGCTTCAAACTTCTCTGGGCTCGGAAGGTCACCGTACTCTTCTTTCAGCTTTCACTTCCACAGTTGGCACTAATCTAGCTGGAGGTTTGATCTACTTAGAGTTGATGGCTTTGTTTCTGATGAATCCAAGCTATGATGTCCTCAGACTTCTCAGCAGCATCAGAGCAGTTCTTAGCTATTCATCTATTAGTTTGTTTACCATCAGGGAGAGCCTAACATGCTCAATCACCATGGCCTTGTGCCCCGTCACTTTACAAGGAGTCCTGGGTATTATGTAGAAGTGGGAAGACTACAAAAATTGATGAATAATTCATTTTTTCAGTCAGATCCAATAAAGTAAAATTGGAAAGGAAAAATGAAGTTCTGGAAGGGCAGGACGAAGTTTAAAGTTGAGGAGCAAGAGATTGAATAAAACAGTAATTTGACCTTAGATACTGAAAGCTTAATTTCAAATTTAAAGGTTGTCTGAGTTCTAATTGGTCAAATGTTCAGTCAACTGTGTAGGTCAAAGGAAGTCATAACACTTGTTTACAACAATGAATGAGGCACTGATCAAACAACATGTCCACAGGCTTAAGGCATATGCATGTCTGTCCTCTCTCGTAAAATTTGTGGCTGAGAAACTTGAGAACTTCCCAATCCCCTACCCTCCACAGGTCTCCATTTGACCAGCTACCTATGGCCATACTAACCACTGCCACCCCCACAAGTCAACTGGAATATGCACACCACACTATGACCCAGCCATTTCTCTAACCTACCATCTGGTTGTCATGTGGACAATGCCTGTGTCCAAAAGGAAGGAATGAGGGTCGAGACTTTTAGGATCCTACACTGTCGAGCTGACTTGGGTCAGGCATGTCAACCACACCTTTAACCATTAGGCCCTGACCAAAGCTTTCATTATCTTCTCTTGTTATGATGTCTAAGTCAATATTTGTGAATTTCATGTACTAACAACAAATCTTCTATTTCACAGATAGCTTAATCAAATTAAAATATCTTTACAGTATGCTTCTGAAGAACAACAGGTCAAACTGTGTTTTATCTCTCCTGCCAGAGTATGAATCCTTGCTTTCCTTGTCTTTTCCTTTAAAAATTCACAAACTATTGAATGTCTCAATGTTGAAATTGAAACATTCTCTCATTAATGAAAGTCTAAAATACATTATATTTTCATATAAAATCTTTCAGGTTATTTTATCATAGTTAACCTCCAATTTATTAATTCTTTCTCTCTGTGCTCTCTGACTTCTCATTTTCTTCACCTCTTCTTATAGTGAGTTATTACCGTTCTTTGTGTGTGTTTGCTTCATTTTTGTCATTTGATTAAAATGTCTATGAAGGACTCTGTGTAATGTTTCCAATGTGCTTGTGCTATCATACATGCACATTTGTTTACATATGCGTATTGCCATATATTTGTGCCACTATTAAACTTTGTCGAGTACTCTAGTAGCTTATACAGCCTGCTTCCAGCTAATGCATGGACAACTTCAGTAACATTCAGGTTATCTGCCAAAGCTACGTCCAATAGCAATGGTGATACTATCAAGGGGCTGTCAATCTATTTCAGGCTTCACAAAATAATCACTTCTGGATTAAAAATCAATTTACCAAGACTAAAATCCATGTTGTCACTACTGTACTCTGATACATGCTCAGAAAAAGCTGGACTCCCTTATTCACCATAGATACAGCATATTTCTCATGAATATGAATGTAAAATTCAGGGAATGCTGGCTGATATACACTGCAGAGTCCTCACTATTCCACTAGATTTCTTTGGAGTGATTTCCTTGAAATATCTGCAAATGATCCATACCAGAAAAGTCACTCTGTGGCAAGAGGTTGTAATACCCTTTTGGTCAGCAAATTTTCAACTACTTGACCATCCTAGCTTTAAGATTGAATAGGCAAATATTTCAAGGAAATCACTCCAAAGAAATCTAGTTGTCAAATGTAAACCATAGCTTCTCTCTGACTTTTCTACCCTTTTTTTGGAGAATAAGAAATGCCAATTTCTTTCAATTATCTGGTTCCTGACCTGATGATCATGCTATCTGCGAACATCACCCAATCAATCTTCATCCATACTAATTGGGAGGCCGAAGTTGGCATTTCCACCACTAGTCAGGGCTGACAGCAGCTTCCAGTTCCAGCGGCCTCTCATTTGGCTCCTTAAGTATCACCAAATAGCATCTTCACTGTTGGACTACTTGCAGTGATTGAAGCCAGAATCCTCATTTTCTCCTAACTTACTATTCTCCTTTCTAGGCTCCTGGTGAAGCCAGTGCATCAAGGGATCATCTGGGACATATGGACACAGTTGATACACACCACACATTTTGGTATGTTTCATGTACACTATTTTTATGGTGTTCCCCTTTCAAAAAATATTTTTATTGTGCCTGTCCACATTAAATTGATAAGTGAACTGAAAATATCTGCCTCAAGCTATGTATCATTTTATGACTCAATTTATTCTTATATGGGGCCCAACATTCTTAGCTGAATTGTTGACACAGCAACTTGAATATTGTCTCTATCTGCAGACAAGAATGCTGTTTTGTTTTGATTGCTGTCAGCACAGAAAACATTGACTCGCACAGGTATGTTGATGAGAATAGTAAAAGCATGTCCAACAGTTTTTTTGACAGCTCCGGGTATTCTTTGAAATCTAGCATCCAGAAGTTCCTAAGAAATTTTGACTTGAATTCTGCCAGAAGAGTTTTATCACTGGATAATTCTATGAGTTTTTCTTGAGCTGCCATTAAATTAATTCCGGATCCAGTCATGTTTTTCTGTTTATTCTTGAAATTTATCTGCAAATTGACAGTGCAGTTTTACGAGAAGAATAGAAACAACATCAAAAATAATTCTTATTTAACTCATTTTCTTCCAAGAATTCACTAAACCAAGGAAACGCTTCACTGTGTTCCATTCTCAAACTTTTTTCACAGCACAAGTGTT